CCACGCGACAAAATGAACGAGCAGTATCCCCCAAATTACCTTCTGCGCCCACGCGACATAACGAACAAGCAGTATCCCCCAAATTATCTTCCGAGGCCATGGTTACCCCAACCCTGGCCAACACACCCACCATTTCCACGTCGTATGTAGCTCGTGATAACAATTTCCCGCTCCCTACCCTGCTGGTGGCCAATGTCCGTTCTATAATTAATAAAATAGACGAACTAGAGGTGGTAGCTCAAATTAACCAAGTTGAGGTCATATGCATTACTGAATCTTGGCTTAACACCTCTGTTGTGGACTCAATGATTTCGTTATCGAACTTCATCCAATTCAGAAATGATCGCACATACTCCTGCGGTGGCGGCGTTTCCATTTATATTAAAGAAGAAATTTACTGTAGGAGGCTCGAGCATTTCGAGGATTCAGCCATTGAATCCCTATGGTTACTACTTAGACCTAAGCGTTTACCAAGATCTATATCCGCTCTTCTACTTGCAGTCATTTACCACACCACCTCCTCCGGCGCCAACGAGAACTTTGAACTGTACAACCATATCCAGCGTAATGTTGAATCCTTCCTTTCTCTGCATCCTGATGGTCTCGTGTTTGTGACTGGGGATTTTAACCCTGTCAGTACATTATTTGATGAAAAACGGTTGAAAAGATTGTCCGGTTTAACTCAAATTATTAATGTCCCAACACGTCACAACGCCATATTGGATTGGTGTCTCACAAATGCCAAGAAAGTCGTTTTTGATGTAAGCCAGCTTCCTCCTATTGGCTCGAGCGACCATAATGCCATTTTAATAAAATCCCATAAAGATCGTCTGGAGAATTCGTGTAATAAACGAGTATGCAAAAGAGATTTAAGAGATAGCAGTATAAGACATTTTGGTCAGACTATTACATCTACCGATTGGACGGAGATATTCGAAATACCTGATCCTAACATGAAGTACCGGAGATTTAATGAGGTAGTTTCTGCAATGATGGATTGTTTTTTCCCCAATAAACCAACTAGTGTTAGGGAATCTGATAAACCATGGATGACGTCATCGCTTAAGTCCTCCATTAGTAAGCGACAAAAATCACTTCATAAGTACGGAAGAAATTCACAAGCATATAGATTTTGGCGCAATAGAGTTCAACGGGATGTTAAAGTGGCACGTAGAAAGTACTATGCCAATTCCGTGCAGAAGTTGAAAAGTGCAAACCCTTCCAGATGGTGGAAAGAGGTTAAATCCATAGGGGGCCTCTCTTCTCGGGAATCTTGGGTACATCAACTACTTTCTGAAGTAAACCCCACCTGTGAGGACCTTGCTGAGTCATATAACGGATATCTTGTTGGACTTACTTCGCATTTTAAACCCTTGTTAGAATGCACCGATGACCAGGAGACAGAAGTTCCCAACCATCTACTCGTAAATATAGGGCAAGTTTATTCAGTGTTGCGACGTCTTAAAACGACGAAGTCTCCTGGCCCAGACGATATCCCAAATAGGATCCTGAAAACCTTCGCTTTTGAATTTGCCCCTATCATAATGGACATATACAATACATCAGTGCTCCAGGGAGTCTTCCCTGATCAGCTAAAACGTTCTATCGTCGTTCCCATTCCAAAAGTGTCACCACCTCAGACTATTGAGGACGATTTAAGACCTATATCACTCACAGCTCAGGTATCTAAAGTGATGGAAGGATTTATGCTACAGTCCCTCATGTCGGAAGTGGGTCTTAAATTGGACCCAAAGCAATTTGCTCTTCCGGGAAAGTCAACCACTCAGGCACTCGTTTATCTCCTCCACTTGATTCATGCTGCTTTAGATCAAGGCCACTGCTCTGTAAGAATCCTTTTTTCTGATTTCAAAAAAGGTTTTGATCTCGTCGACCATAATGTCATTATTGATGAACTTTTAAAATTACAAGTGAGTCCTGCCATTATAAGATGGATAAAGTCGTTCCTTACCTCCCGCGAACAGTGTGTTAAAATCGGACCATCCTTTTCCTCATGGAAACCCGTTAACGGTGGCCTACCTCAAGGAATTAAACTTGGCCCTCTTCTCTTTGCCATTTTGGTCAATTCCCTCCTACAGGACTGGAATGGGCGGATAAAGTTTGTAGACGATGCTACTGCACTAGAAATTGTTCCACGTTGCTCTCCTAGCTTGCTACCTATTCTCGTAAATGATGTATCTCAGTATGCCTCAAGTAGAGGAATGAAGCTTAACAGTAAGAAATGTAAGGAGATGACAATATCCTTCCTCCAATACCACCTTCCACTTGATAATGCGATCTATATAAATGGTTTGCCAGTGCAATCAGTATCCTCCTTTAAACTGCTCGGTGTGCTACTGAGAGAGGATCTATCTTGGTGTGATCATGTCGACTATGTGATTAAAAAAGCAAATTCTAGACTCTATGCATTGCGGAAGTTAAAAAAGGCTGGGTTAAGCGATAAAGACCTTGTCACTATATATTCCTCCTTCATTCGGTCCCGAATTGAGTACGCTTCACCTGCGTGGTCATCGCTGACCCAAGGCCAGTCTGACCTTATCGAATCGATACAGAGAAGAGCATTACGTATCTTGCTTCCCGAAATGTCGTATCAAAACGCATTGAATTATACTGGTCTAAAAAAGTTAAGTACGCGTAGACATAATTTCTGTGAACAATTTATTCGGAAATTGAAGCTTGACAATGGTCCTATAAATCCTCTTAAGGATGTTGTTGCAACTCGTATACATCCAAATACTCATAATTATAATCTTAGGTCCGAATCAAGCTGGTCACTCCAAACGAACACAGAACGGTTTCAAAATTTTATAACTGTCAAATATAATTATTAATGTATTATTGATTTAGTAGTACTCGTGTATATTAATTCAGGGACCCAATTATAATTTGTGGACAGATTTAAACTGATTATTCAGAACGAACATTGAACGGTTTGAACTCAATTTTATCTGTAAATTTAATTTTTAATGTACTTACTTATAATCATGTAATTCAGTAGAGACTGCAATGTGATTAATTAAACAGATTATTATTATTATTATTATTATTATAATTGACCTCCGCTTGTGGAGATTTTAATTTAGGGCGATTAATTAAACTGAAATCTGTTCTATCACAATGCACTACAGTGCCTATGGTTATGTCTATATGCATGTCCTCACAAATGTCTAGTGCACTAGACATTTGTGAGGACATGCATATAGACATAACCATAGCTTTGATTAACTGATTCACCATTTATACTAGTAAACTATTAAACTATCGTGATTTACACAATTTTTGGATATTTACCAGACCACCACCGACCCGAGGTTAACGCCGAATCGGTGTCTTGTTGTATATCTTCCAAGGCTAAGTTATTCTCGTTTAGAATTTAATTTTCCAGAGCAGAAAATCGTGCGCTTTACAAAGATGTTTTAATTTCTTAATCAGTCAATATTTAATATATGCACCCTGTCAATATTTACGCATCTTTGCGTTCAGCTTCGGTGCCCAAAGGGCATTCAAATTCTAACAGTTAATACATTAGTTCAATAGTTTGTTATTTTTGGGACACCCTGTACTGCAGAAGATTTTGTAGAAGGAATTTATACGTTTATTAGACCTACTATATGACCTGCACGAGCATTTAGGAAAATGCATTTTTTCGCAACTACTCCTGATGGCTTTAATAAATGTAAAAAATTCACACTCGAAATTTCTATCAACAAAACCATTCAACAATTAGTTCTATCAAGACTAGATCAGTGCAAAATCTTGATATCGTGCCTATATATATATATATATATATATATATATATATATATATATATATATATATATATATATATATATATATATATATATATATATATATATATATATATATATATATATATATATATATATATATATATATATATAATGGTTAAAATGGTACACCGTGGAATATTTTAAAATTATCGCGCTAAATATTGTCTGAAGTAGGTTGGAATACTAAGCAACACACGTTCTTTCAAGTCCATTTCATTTGTTTGTATTACACCTATAACTGGGGATATTATCACAGTCTTAGTGCATTGGTGGTGGTACACCGTTATGTATGTCACTGGGAAAAATTGAGCATTGATTTACCACACCCGGAAAACGTGTGTCAAAATGCATAATTCACATTTATATAGTTGTCACTTAATATTATAAATATATACAGTAAATGCCAGAAACGTAACTATGTTGAATTTATTGTCCCTTAGTTCTACTGGATATCACAGACACACGCATTCGTTTATGTATAGACTGAATGTATAACCTATCAATATATAAGTCGCACAAAACCATATGGAAATATATTTTTTGGGTCGTGCATTGTATTTCATGCACTGATCGCTTCCATGTCTGTCTAGGCACCTTCTCACATGGTCGATTAGTCCGGTCTATTGTGTCTTGCAGATCAGTTATATAAATATACAGATAACAAATATGACTCATATATATTTCTTAATTTCTGAATTATTGCAATGATATCTACTAGAACGCGATTATATATCGTATGTATATATAAAATTATATATCGTATGCGATTTTCTTGCAAAACGTTTCTACCACACATTATTACCCTTTCAAAACACTAAGGTATTCATGACGTATTTAATTAATGAAATAAGGTACTTGATGTAATTATGAACATAAGTAGGTCATACGCAATGGACATAAACGAAATACATGGCAAGGACATGTATAAAAAGCGAAATATAAAAGAATATAATTTCGACTCATTTCAGACAATCCTGGACAAAACCATCTGCGACACTCTATTTTAAAACATTGCTTTTAGTCTAGGACCTGTATATGAGTTTGTATGCATTTCATTTAGGACAGATAATCTCAACTGTTTTAGGGTAAGTTGACCATGACGGTCAATATGGTAACGCTGCCCGAACCCCAATCCGGGGCGAAACGTCCGAAACTGACCACACCCAAAAACGACGCTTTCGCCATACTGCTATCTACCAAACCATAAAAGCTTTGGCTATTCTGAGGTGCTTATATGGTTCAGAGATGGTACTTTTGGGGGTGGTCATTGGTAAGTGTGAAATGCTAAGCACTAATATTTCACAAGAAAATGGCCATGCAATAATCATAGTTAAACGTCAATTTGTGGCTTGCAAATTCAGATAAACAGCAGTGGACTTACATTACCTTTTTCCCTAAATCTTTTTGATAGAAACATAAATGGTACTTATTTAAATATATTATCCCTGGTTTGGTGTAAAATAGTTAATATTTTCTGACCGAAATAATAATTCGAAATGTGCCTACCTCCTGCAAATGGACGTATTTGGCCAAGTTCTCCACTTTACTCCGCTGTTTATCGGCGATCTCGTTGACATCCTACAAAAAATGTAAATCATCTCAGACATAATGGTATCAAGAACATTTTAAACAAGTTTCAACTTGGTTTCAAGTAGATCATACCTGTTTAACCATCGACAAGGTAAATCCACAACTTTGTCCAAATTCGGCGCCATTTTGTCATCCCATGTCGCTTGTTAACAATTCAGCCTTGTTACTCTTCCATCCAAGCCATTTCCATTCCACTAATAATAAATTTAACCCTTTATAACAGGAGGAAACTAAAAAATCTAAACAAAATACAAGAAATACGCCATTTTATCACCCTGTAAAATGTTGTTTACGAGTCCTTCAAAACATTTCGTACAAATCTCGCGTGGTTTAGCAACAGGGACGTGACAGGGGGGGTAGAGACTTGAAAAATGAAAGGAAAGCCCACACAGTATGGTAAACACCCAACAATCAACATTTAATTTGTATGACTTTTTCATATTAATAAATAATAATATGTATATATTTGTCGCTACAAGAAATAAAACAAACATTTGTATGATTGTATTTAGCTTTTGGTCTATTTCACGCAGCCTTCTATCTTCGTGAAATAATTCACCCCCTCCTGTCACGTCCCTGTAACTTTGTCACTCGATATTTGTACGGAATGTTTTGAAAGGCTCGTGAGCAAAATTTTACATGGTGATAAAATGGCGCATTTCTTATATTTTGTTTAGATTTTTTAGTTTCCTCCTGTTATAAAGGGTTAAATTTATAATTAGTGGAATGGAAACGGCTTGGATGGAAGGGTAACAAGGCTGAATTGTTAACAAGCGACATGGGATGACAAAATGGCGCCGAATTTGGACAAAGTTGTGGATTTACCTTGTCGATGGTTAAACAGGTATGATCTACTTGAAACCAAGTTGAAACTTGTTTAAAATGTTCTTGATACCACTACGTCTGAAATGATTTACATTTTTTTGAGGATGTCGACGAGATCGCCGATAAACAACGGAGTAAAGTGGAGAAATTGGCCAAATACGTCTATTTGCAGGAGGTAGGCACAGTGTTACCATGTTGACCGTCATGGTCAACTTACCCTAATACAGTTGAGATTATCTGTCCTAAATGAAATGCATACAAACTCATATA